CACCATAAGACGACGAAGAGTTTCATAGTTTTCATATGGCAGTCGCCCAAGGAGCTCTTTGAAAAGTTCCAAACGAACTGATTCGTTATGGTTATCGGCTGCAATTAGCCAGGCAAAAAAGAGTGTTTCAGGCAGAAAGCATTCACCGGCTTCTGCCAAAGTGTAGAGAAACCTCTTTAGTGCACTTGCTACCAGGTGAGGATTTTCCAAGAATTGTAGCTCGTACGGCTGGTAACGCATTAGAGTCAGAAGCTGTTCTGTCTTATCCTTGCTTCCCGAAATGCGATAAAGCCCTTCCGTATCAATATGCATGTCCAAATGCTGAATTGCAGCATCCAGACCCACTGGGACATATTTTTGGGTTATTAGTTGGCTGGACAAGGATGACCCAACTAAAAGGCAGGCCTCTGTAAGCAGCCGGTACCATAGTGTATGTGCAATGACCGATTCTGCTTTGATGTAGAGCGTTGATTCAGGATGTCGGATAATAATCGGCTTAAGAGGAGGAACCGGAAAAGGAGTTGGCATCAGATCCTTACCCATCTCTATGCGCCTGGCCATGCGTAAATCGAAAACTTGCTTTTTAACTCCTTCGTAGGTTGACTGATGAATGTGAGCATATTCAATCGCTGAGTGATTTTCATTATTAAACGACTCAGACAGAACTATTAGTTGACGGTTAAAAAGAGTAAGCCATGCTGGCCTCCACTGTCCATTTGAAAACTCTCGCAGTACGGTCCACCCAGCAGCTGTAAAAGCATTCAGCATTTGGTTTTTATCCCCGTCTCCCTCCATAACTATCTGATGGGGGGCAAATATCGAAGTCAGCGCAGTTGTCGCTGAGTTAATGTGCTCTTGAGGGCCATCCATATTTAAGAGAATGTAAGGCGCTTCGCCGGCAAAATGTGGATGGCTAGAGCTTAAATTGGTCGTCCTTGCTTCGTCTTGTCGACTAATCAGCAGAAGAGAGCAACCAGAGGAACTGAGTGCATTGCAGCTAGCTTTGACAAGTTTTGGTTGCTCCATTCCTTGCATAAAACTGCCCACATGACGAGGAGTCCCGATGGGACCACCAACTGATAATTGCAGCCAGTTGTATAAATGAGTCACGTTATCGGTGGACAAGACTAAAGTCAAATCGAGAAACGCTATTCTGGTAAGCTCACGTTGGCTATTCGTCTTTTCGAGTGGATTATCATCCATGCCCTGGAGTGCTGTTACAAGCAAAAGGTTATTTTTAAGGTCTAAACAAGGTCGGAAATTTGTATCGGAAACAATAGATCGTTTGTCTTCAGAAAATAGAGTTTCCAAAGTTACTGCGCTCAGTGTGTCGAGGTGCCTGTCCGAGATTGAGAACAATGCGTGCGCAATGTCACATTGGGCTTTAAAAGAGGCCGTTGAGCAGTTGGACCGTCGCCAGTCTCTGGTTACGTTACCGTTAACGCCACGGCTGCCGAGGCAATCTAAGTTCCAGGCTGATAGACCGCCAAAGTAACTGAGC